GCAGGAAGAAGGATCTGAAGACTGAGTCTCGTCACTCAGGCAAGTGATCTCATCTCTTTCCTGTCTTGGTCCTTCGGGAAGGAGTTCCTCTCTTGTTTGGTTGCTTTCCACTTTTGATGGTGTTTTGTTCATCAACATAATTAATAGGAATTGTAGTTAAGAGATCCTAAAAGAATGATACATGAGAAGAAACAGAGTCACGTTTGTAACATTATTTGTTCATTTCTATATACCTATTCCTAAAAAACGATCCAATGAAATCGAATACAAAAATAATGAGAAAATCAAAATTTTCTTTCAAAAATGAATATATTTTTTTATTAAAATGTAAACCGAATAGAAATTCAAAGGAACCAAATTTGATATAAAAATCAAGTAATTATAATTTTTAAAACCGAAATAATCAAACAAAACCGGAACCCAAAACTGAAATCGACACTTCTAGGGCTAACTCATACACAGATATATGGAAACAATAGCATTGCATTGCCTGGAGATTCTATCAATGGTGAAACAGAAGAGTTGAGTCGCACAATGGGGAGGATAAAAGAAAGACAACCTTTTCAACTGTTTCTTTATTTCTCTCCATTTGGGTGTATACAGAAATTCTCAAAGCCCATTCGCGAGGCAGCTACCGTCTTTCTTGCCGTAAAATCTTCGGTACAATGAATCCACTTCCTTCAGGTAATACGTTCCGGGAGCCAAGAGATCAATAACACCGTCCTTGGTCGTGACAAAGTCTTTTGCACCGTATCTGTGCTCCATCAGCTTCATTGTCTCGATGAATCTCTCTGGCGTGAACTGCAACGCACAACAAATCCGAGAGAAATCCTTGAAACCGAGCTGATATATCGCCCAAAAAAAAAAAAGACAAAAAAGGCGTCGTGTTTAGGTATCATACCTCGTGTCTCGCCTTCAGTTTCCCAGCTACATCCATCACGGATGCTATGTTTGAAAGGCTGAAAGGAGGGTTGGTATCGACGAGATGCAAGGAAAACATCGTCGAGGTGAGACCACTTCCGTACGAAAACATCATCACCCGTTTCCCGGCCTACAAAAGATTCCAAACACTAATTATTTCGAGCACTAAGTCCATAAAAGGAAAAGCCTATGCAGGGTTCAGAAATTACAGAGAGGACATTTTTACCAGTTCGGTGTGTTTATTGTGGATGAGGGAAGCAAAGGCAGCGTAGAGTGATGCAGTGTACATATTCCCGACTTGCTTCGGGATCAAAGTTGTTGGCTGTACCTTAGCATCGTACAACGGCTTTGCAAGTTGTTGTGACACCTACATATATTATTGCAGGGATTTATGTAAGTAAATGCTATAATAAAGGTTCTCTTGTTATCGAAGAAAGGAAGAGTAAAGTAAAACCTTTTCAAGATCACGGTTTTGGTAACTCTCGTCAAGGGACAAAGATGAAAACGGTACAAACTTTTCACTTACAGCCCCCTCGACAGAGCTGCAGGAAGGAAATATGGAAAAGTATATAATTTAGAGCAGAATGAAGAAATAACAACCAAAAGTGGCAAGAAGAAGTAAGAACCTTGCACTCCTCAAGAAGTCATTGTATAAGAGACGGGCAAAGCTTTTCTGTACAAGCTGAAGTAGCAGAAACAAGGAGATCGTCAAAGAAAAACCGAGGTAGAACTGCCACTCGTGTAGCAATTTTTTTTTTGTATTGACAAGTTACCTTGTTGTAAGGAGAGTGGAAAACAAAATACTCAGCATCTAAGATTGAGAATTGTTTGCCTTCAAGTTTCTCGTACCTACATTCATAGAAGAGGAAGAAAACAACATATAAACTGGCAGCGAACAAACAGATCCGTTTCAGAAACTAGTTTCAGAAACTATGACTAACTTGCTACAGTAATGTTTGTAGCAAGAGTCCAGGGCCATAAGGTAGCAAGTCTGGGAAAGCTTCCCATCAACGACCTACTCACAGCAACAAAGAACAGAAGAAAAATCAACATAAGGAAAGTGTTAAAAGCTTTCTAGTGAGACTCGAGGTTACAGATAAAAGATTACCGGATATTCACTAGCAAGGTTGGGCTTGTAAAAGTCATAGGCATGAGCCATATGGCTTCCCCTCAGTTTGCTTTCAAAAACAATTGGAGCATCCGGCCCAATCAACATAGCAATTGCGGCTGCTCCTCCAGTAGGCCTGGCCGGTCCTTCAGCATAAACCTGAAAATAGAAAATGCTAAGGAGAAGGGAGGAAATACGCACACTTTTGGCATAAGATATACAGACTGGCTGCAGTCCAACTGAGGTAAAATATGAATGTGATTACATACTAGGGTCAGACTCAAAAACCAGGTGTAAGATGGATATGCACGCATGAATCTTGGAGGAAAGAACATATTTATTGAAGTGTCATCTCATCAGTAAACAGAAAGATCAACCATTCAGAAGAGGCTTTTTTTAAGGCGGATGAAGAGATATACCGCACTGTCAGTACAAACGACAAGGCCATAACGTCCATCCCATGAGTTACTCTCCATCCAGTTGACACAGTTGAACAAAGCAGCAGTTCCACCATAGCAAGCATTGGTCGAGTCAACCCCTTCGACATCAGTGTTTCCACATTTCTGTTTATTCGCACGAGAAAGACAAAGAAGCATGACGATATATGTATTTTCGTTTTCCATGATTTCTCACCCATGTAGCAGTCCAAGAATTCACAATTGAAAAGGTCATTTGCATAACTAGATTTCGATCCTGATCGAGCTTGGAGAAAGTACTACTGGGAAAGAAATACCTCAAAGATTTGCATCAAGAAGGTTTTTATGGACTTGCTCTTGTCTATTACAGTCTCACTTCCCACTTCGAGGCGTCCTATTTGCTTCGGGTCAATCTTATAATTCTCAAGAAGGGAAGTCACTACATTGAAACTAAAACAAAAACCCAAACAACTGAGTCAACTTTCAAATTCACAGTCCTTGCATGATGCTCTGTAAGAGACAATCACTTGAACGAACCTCATGGAGATAACATCTTCGAGCTCAGTGCAAAAACCCATGCAATCTTGTCCAAGCCCGATGGTGTATTTACCTTTGCTTGCTCCATCATGAGCTTCCAGTGCTTCCTATGTAAGAACAGAAACTTAATCAACAAGGAACACAACCAAGAAGCCAAACAGCAGTAAAAACATTCGAAATTCCAAGAACAGATCAGAACAGAACCTTCAAAAAAATATAAAGTACTTGAAGACAACAAATCAGCTCATTCAGTCTACTCACATAATTTTCATACAGAAAAGCTAAAATTCAGATCAATCAATATAACAAACTTATTTGAAACAAAAATGTTTTAAAAGACAAGATCTAGATTTAACTATATGTCCTCTTTTTACAGCTAAAAAGGTGAAGCCTTTCAAATCCACGGCAGCCAAGTCATCTAAACAAGGTATAATGAATAGTAAAAAGATTCAACGAACTGGAAGCTTTAGAACTCTGTTAGGCAGAAAATGAAAATTATATCTCAATCTCAATTAGAATCAATAACTCAAGAGGATAATCATTTCTCAACCATTTCAAGTCTTAAGAACCACATCTGGGGGCCAGAGATCTCAAGATTTTGTGAACAAGCACGTCCAGAGGAAGACAAACAAGAAACCCAATTTGCTTTGCAACAATATGGCACTTCATGTTCTGAGTTCATATCATAATCAGAACCCTAAATTACAACCAAAAGAACGAAGAAAACAGAAAAGACAAACAAACAAAAAATCCAAAGTTTGTGCCTTTCTGATTTCATTCTACACTAAAGCTCATGCGCATTACAACCTAGAAACAAGAAAGCCTACATGTTTATATACAACTCCCCCAAACTATGAGTTTTCCCTAGAAAATGTCAGCTCGGAGATTAACCAATCGGACGTCAAGAAAGAAAGCGGCAAAGAAGTTGCGTCCGAAACGCAAAAGCTCCAACGACGACAGAGCATCCAAAAATGGCCAAAACGCAAACGCTTTGAAAACGCAGAACCAGAGGGAGTGGGGGGGGATAATCTCCGGCGTTTACCTGTTGAACGCAGGTCGGAGGAAAGTAGATGTCCATAGCCACAATTCCCACGTTCTTCGCCATCGGTGGACACAGGAAGAAGATCCTTTTCCACAGAAATTGACGAAAACAAAATTCAGTGTTTGATCGATCGGTCGAGAGATCGAGAGAGAGAACCCAGAAATTTTCTGAAGCAATGAAATCACAGCTCGAAACAGAATCCCGTTTGTTAATAAACAAGCCGAATGGAAATTAGTAAAACAAAAAAAGATTGTGTTATTATTATTATTATTATTATTATTATTATTGTTGTTGTTGTTGTTGTTACCTGTAACCTTAGCTTATAAATATATTATTGAAATTCTATGAATAAATAATTCAAACATAAATTTATCCCGGAATAAATTTGACCCATTCCTTTGAAAAACATCTCAATCACTCCATTCTAAACAGACTTCTCCATATACTTAAACATAGTTTATGCCAAAATATTTAAAAACAATTACATTATTTGTCAAATTGTACATTATAAAATCCAGATATTCACCAAATTTTTGGAAAAAAAAAAATAGAAAATTGTGTATTCATAAGCGAATTTATAATAGTCAGGTATTGAATTAATTATTATTATTATTATAAAAAAAAAGTAGCCTCAAATTGAACTTGTCCGTAAGGTTGGATAATTAGGTCCCGACTCTGGGACAACGTAGTCTCCGTGAATTAGCTTCCCCTCCTCCTCGATACTCTCGCTCTCTCTTTACCCCTTCTCCACACGCTTATTTACCATTCTGCCCTCCACCGTACTTGATATATTATAATATATAGCCTTGGTTTAATTAGTTTCACAAGAAACTTATCAAATAATTTTACTAAATATTTTTTTATGTTTTCTTCTAACATAAGAATATCAAAACGTTTACTCAAAGATGGTTATATATATGTGTATATATATATATATGTATATTACAAACTTTATAGAGAGTTAAAGATCTCAACCAACTAGTTCCTCAATGGCAGGGATTTTGTCATACATGACAAGTGTCTGATTTCGATGAAAGCTCCACTTCTCTTTTTTTTTTGTGTTTTTTATTTGACCATATTAAACAATCTAATTGCTAATCAATTACACTAAAAATGGTTGAGCCCCCAACTATATTACATCATTTCATCGTTTTAAATAAGGGTGGACGTGGATCGTTTCGAGTTTCGATTCAATATTTAAACGGTTTAATTCCCGAATGATATTTTCGGTTTTATAAAAATTATATCAATTTAGAACCAAACATTAAATGATTCGGTTAGGTTTGATTTTAGTATCGATTCATTTCAAAACGATATCTTTTTATAAATACTAAATAAATATCACATACATATATATTAGTGTGGATAATTCAGATTTTGATTCGGTATTTGTCGGTTCGGTTCGAAAAACAGTTTATTCGGTTTTATAAAAATATACCAAATTAGAATCGAATAACATCTAATTCGGTTTTGGTTCAGATCAGTTTGAAACTAAATTTGCGAACCAAAGTGTACTTTCGATCAATGGAATCCCTGAATATTGCTTATACAATGTATTATAATTTATAAATGGACCTTGTTTTTATTCATAAATTTGTAGTAACAGAATAATGGATCATCAGAACTATTAAAATAATATATTATTGATAGACAGGACAGAAACATGGGAATTGGTGAGTTTTTGTCGTTTCCCACAGGATAAAAATCTCCCTCGACCTCGGAATCTCCGTCACCGTCCGATCGAGATCCATCAACTTCCACCGTTCGATCATTCGACTAAAATTAAGTCGACGCGATTCAAAGGAATGTACACTACACTGCCTGCTGACCGTTCGATGAGTCAGATTTTGGTGACGTCATTATATGGGACCCAGTAAAACCTGTCGGAAGCACGTGCGGTGTTAGGTACAGTTTTTTTTTCCTTCCAAAAAACAACGGCAGGGGGAGGTAGGTTAAGCTGAAAAGGAGATGTTTCAATTGTTTCTCACAAATTAAAAACATAAAAATAATATAACACAAGGCTATAATCATTCAGCATCGTGGTCCGTCACGAATCACATTTTATATTTTTTTTATGACCCTTTCGTTGTTAAAGTGGGAAAAAGGATCCGACAACATGTGGGATTCAGATGGTGAGGTTTTCTTGCACCGCAAGAAACGAACCCAAGATCTTGCCGCCGACATCTGGGAAAGCGTCGCAGCCAGGAAGAGCTCCGACTTTTCCGGTACGGTCGACATGAAGAGGGTACTTGAGGAGATGGCCTTTCATCTCAGTCGCCTCTTCTGCTGCGAACTGCAACCAGTTGAGCTCGCTCACTTGCCTCACCCTTCTGACGCATTCCAAGCTCTCTGGCTTCTCAAATCCTTTCTCCACAAACCCTAGATGCTCTCCCCACAATGACATTCTGTATCCATAGATCTGCAATGTTTTGACAATTTTGTCCAAAACCCGGGTTAGGTCTGGTATCATATTATGAGCAAAGCTGTTGAAGAGCAAAGTTGGTATCTTCCCTCGTACACAGATTTGTCTGAAAGGGAATGTATTGTACAAAAACTGATTGAATCTATGAAGGGCAGGACCCAAACCCATATATAAGACAGTCAACAATCTAGAAAAAAAAGTTGCAGGGATTAATGAGAGTTGTACCTGGCCACAAGGATGAGATCTTTTCCTTGCCCATGTATGATGGGGTTGATACCCTCCCATTGCAATTTCAGTGTCTCTGGTTCCTTCCAAGGATCTCTGGTTAATGTTTGCAGAACCTATTATCACATACTCATCATCCACTATCATTCCTTTGGAATGTACATATATCATGAATCTCCTGCTCTTCAACACTTGCTCCTGCATTTCACAGTATCTTAAACTGAGTGTGACCAAATGAGGGCTATAACAAGAAATCCCAGAAGAAAGGCATATATATATATATATATACACACACATGTAACATATAGAGGTACCTTAACTGGGTTTGCCTGAGCTTGATTCCGGGGATTATATACATTGACGGTCGTATCAGGCACCTCTCTAGTTCCAAGACAGAAGAAGTTCAAATAGTCTTGCGGCTCGTACTGCCCATCGAGACCAACCTCCACGAGAGCCTTGTAGATGGTTTCATACATCATTTGCATGGTTTTATGCTGCAAAAACATCAGAAACAGCCCTGAGCTTAGAAGACGAGAACCAATGTGATAAATCTTTTCTCTAAAAGAAAGAAACTATCGCATAGTATAAGAGATCCACCATGAGTTAACAACCTGCCAAAAGAGAATTCTCTGAATAGGTTTGCTTGTTGGAGCACCTTCCGGCCACATTGGAATAACTATGTACACCGCAAACCTCTCCCCTGCCCTAATTTTGTTCGCTATCTTGAGCGCAATTTCCATCGGAATGAGATTATTCGCACCTGCAGGCCAAAACTCCCGCTCCTTTAAATTATGCACAGTGATGCATTCCTTCAAAAAGTTGAACATTTCCTTACCCAAGTCTTGGTTTGAATCCCAGTTGAAGGATGACCCGAGAAAATACTGGTTCTCGATGTAGATGAAATGTTGGGCAGAGCGTATGGCCTTAACATAAGCAGCATGTATGCTCATGTCTATGAGTATGTTCTTCCCACATAAGAGGTTCTGTTCCCAAATTCATCATATATATATATATATAAGTTAACCAACGTGAAGACAACAGTTAAATCATTGTCCATTTCTGCTTACTCTGCTTGTAGCTTCTCTGGGGTCCTTTGGAAACCCTTTGACAGAGCTTGAATCAATTGATCGGAAAACCTAAAAAAAATTCGATTCATGGAAAAAAATACTAACCTTTTGTCACTTCACATAAAAAAGCGTAATTATGTATGAATGTCATCACATATTAATGGATAATTGGGGACATATGACAGCACCTAGGAAAAGAAGTTAGGGCTATGCATTACCTGGACATGCCAAGACTCTCGGTCGTTGTCATTAGAAGTAGAAATTTCAGATATTCCCATAATGTCAGGAATTCTTTCTATCCTCAGTAAGGAATCATCTCGAGATGTCTTTAGCATCCCAAGTCCTCGAGGTTTTGAAGCTTTAAGCCAACGCTCCTCAAAGTTTGCGAGCACATCATAGGCAGCAGGACCATCGATCCGAGCATGCAAATCATGCCATGGTTCCCTTGGTCCATCATCCGCTGTAGTCTATTCCAACCAGAAATTCGAAATGAAAAAGAAGATCTGAGATTTTAGACAAACAGTTTCCAAGTACTGGAATGGTTACCACAAAATTCGGGTTATGGAAGTCATCTTTATGCAATGTCTGCAAGGTCCTAAACAGAGAGTGCTTAGGGGTATCATATCGTCCGTTGCAAAGATCGAGCCCACCGACAAAAGCTACGATCTTTCTTCTGTTCTGACCCGCATCAGCATCTACAATCACGGTCTTTTGATGATGAGTGTAGATTGTTCCGACTTCCTGGAATCAAGAATGACATTCCCCCCAAGTTCAGAACGATATGGCTAAAATGGAGAGTAAGCATTAATCCAGCTACTGATGATGATGATGATGGCCATCTTACAGAATTTTTTATAAAGCTGTGGCCTTTCCCACCAGACCTAGGACATAAAAGAACTTGCACCGACGAATGCTTGAGAAACTCGCGAGTCTCCTCGTCGCTTGTGCCCATCACTCCTTGCTACATTACAGCAAACACCAATTTTACTAAAACTGACAAATCACTTCTGCTTCTATTAGTCCCGAAATACGAGATTGTTAGGATCTAAAACGGTGACAGAGGCGAATAGAAAGTGTTGATTTTCAGTCTATCTGAGACAGCATATCTATATCAAGTTACCAGTCATGAAGAGAATCGAAACTGTTAGCTTCTTACAGTTTTGATGCCCAAAATGTTCCTAGAGGTCGGATCATCCCACACAAGAAGCAGCACTCTCACACCTTCTTGTGACTTGGATTTAAGCAACTCTCCCAATGTGCCATCAGTTGGATCATTATTATGCCGAACCAGCCTAACCGGATGGTAGACAGACCAGCCTGTGATATAAACCAATCTTCGAGCCTGACTTATGGCCCTGGCCACATCCTCCCAGCATCTTCCATGTCTATACTGAATTCCACCATCAAGATTTATATTTGGTAGCTTACATTCATCATCAACATGAGCATCCTGATAGAGAGTAACCCTACCGCCTTTTCTTAATGGGAAATAAGTACCGGGGACTCCGACATAGTCAGGACCAGACCCTACTCCCATTTTGTAAAGGCTTATCCTCTCCATTGGTGTGTATTGAATGGACAAACTCAACACAGCACCTGATTTACAAGGTTTCCCACTACTGTTAAGGATCGGGAAAAACCCTTCGATCTGATTTCCCGACCATAGTTGCTCGGCTGGGATTCCGACCGCTCCAATAATCTGTGAGCCAAAAATGTCATTGTCTTTCACCACAAAGTGGACTTCCGCGGCATTATGAGCCACTGGGACATCAAAATGCTGCATCCACATTGGGTTTTCGCTGTTATTCATCACGAAAGTTCTGGCAATTACAGCACCAGACACGGAGACAGTAACGTAGGGATCACTGGTGATCTTAGAGGACCTTTGACCTCCAACTTTGTTGCTGGATTTCTTGTCAAAACCGGAAAATATCTCGCCGAGCTTGTTGTGGAACATATCCATGTTAGGGAGGTTTTTAGCCTCCTTAACCCAGATGTCCAAGTTCCCGTGTAATAACAGAACCCTCAACGATCCGCTATTCGTCGCAAACGGCACAGATTGTTGGCCCTGACCATGGCTTGATCCTCCAAATGATAGATTTTCATTATAAACAGGATGACACGCCATTGAGACAAACAAATCAACGAAAAAGCTCGAGACTTGAAGCCAGTCCGATCAACTTTCCGACAGCTTGTGCAAAACCCAGAACTCAAAATCCAAAATTAGGCGACATCAAAGATCAAACACTTTGTGGGCAACCAAAATAAAGCCGAAAGAGATTATCGGGAGACGAACCAGATCGAATCTATGAACAAGGAAACCGAAGAAAGAGGAATTGGGATCTGAATGTGGGAGGTTGCGGAGACAATACAAACTTGAGAACATTAACGTCGGAAGAAAGTGGGAGGGAACGAAGATGAAGTTGACTTGGATCACAAGATTGGGAAGACTGACGGAGAAATTGAAGTCAGAACCATTGCTGAATCGTTCCGATATACGACAACGAAAACCACTTGAATCCATTGGAATTAAAGTATGGAAAAGAATGGTCAACTTGCTACAACGAATAATTAAAGTGCTTGAGAGCCAAGCCGCCACAGAGAGAGAGAGAGAGACTGCGAAGAAAGTGTTTCGTTGACTCTCGTGCGCGAAACTCCACTCATTATGAAGGTTTATCTCTGTTACAAAGGTTTAGTGCGAGAGACGAGCACTGGTATGTCTCAATTAGAGTATAATTATAATAGACAGGTGTAGTTTTTATTTGAATATAAATATTTTTTTGGCAAAGCTTATGTTTCCGGCAATTATCCGTTTTAAGCAAAAAAATAAAAAAAAACAATTACGTCTAATCTCGAAATCGCTTTCCCTTCTCCTTATTCAATAACAATGTAATAAAATTATCAGATTTAGGAACCTTCCAGGTGAATTGGTTAAGAAGTATGGTGGGAAACTTCGACTCCTTGCTGTCTCCTTGGTTTTCACCTGTCAGTTACGACTGTTTCCTTGGTTTTCACTCGTCGTCTGTTAGTTACGGTTAATTTACCTCTCACGTGTATGTTGCAAACTCATGTGCTTGGACTTGGAGTTTTCTTTGATCCGCGATACTATCCACGTCCGATCCATTGGACTGTGAGGCGTTACGGTGTCCGGTGTCCGGTGTCCGACCCGAAAAGTTGTAGGGTAGATTCCCCAATGTATAAAAAAAAAATTATCGGATTTAACACTATAATGGCTCGTCGTAACCACTTGCAATAATTAGATTATACTTTCATTCAAGTTAAAGAAGAATGAATGAAATAGGAATGGCTATGTTTAAGGAATTTGATTTCCCCCCTCAATCATAATCCATGAACTGCAAGCATATCACTTCATACACAACAATATTATGAAGTGTCAAATTTGGAGCGTTTGCATCTAATGGTATAAACCAAGTAAGCATTGCGTATACATGCATCATACTACCATATGTAGTTGTAGTAGTAGTACTAGTTCAATACCAGGATAAAAAATTATAAATAAATAAATACGAAGGTCCAACGTGCAAGTCAGTCACGCCGTCAAAACTAACGGCAATCAGAGACCAATTCAGATCAGACAACGAAAAAAGACGTGAAAATCCCCAAAATACCTTTTTCTCTTCTAAACTAGCAAATGAAATGAGCAGACGACAGAACCTTTTGACAATGAGCAGGGAAGAGAATTTTTTATGATGGTTTCTAGTACGTTTTTTTTTTATAATCAAAGATGGTTATAAGACTAACAAAACTCAGAAAGACAAAAAAAAAGATCAGCTGAAATGCAAAAAAAGAAGAGGAAATTCAAAAAAGGAAGGGGATGAATATACAGAAGGGAAATATCCAGCTGAGTAGAGGATTTACATAACTGTACACTTGGAGTCTTTGGAAGATTTCCCATCTGGCTTCGCCGTGGAGGAAGAAGGCCTGTGGCTACTTCTTGGTACCTGCAGGACCACAAGTTCCCATTACATGTGAGAATACATGAAATGAGCAAAGACTCATTTCCAACAGAAAATGCAGTAAAAGATTGGCATTACCATATCTGACTTTGTGTTTTGTCGGTTTTTTGAGATTTGATTCTAATTAAGGTTGTTTGGATATTCACATTGCAGTCAGAATCACTCCAACTGCTTGAGTTTGCACTTTGCACCAATAAACAAGAAGTACTAAAAGCTTGTCAATTTCCTAACTCCTAAGACATTCACCATGCCTAGTCACAAGTAATGACGGCCACAAGAATAATAATACAGTGGAAGAGACCCTTATCAATGTGTTTCTTAGTTATATCTTCGTAACTAAAACGAGCTACAGGAATGGAAAGGTTTGTATTTTTTTCCCTGGGAAGATATAAAGCCTATCCGATTATCGAGGACCAGAGTATAAAACTCGAGGGATGTGATGGGTTAGGAACTATCTTAAACCCTCATAATTTATTTTTCTTTATTAAATCCACATTAAAAAAGGAAGAAGAAAGTATTATGTTCTACCTGCGGGCCCGTGATCAGGCGTGAAGCACCGATGTCTGTTGGTTGCGAGGGTGTGTTACTACGCGGGCTCTGCTGCTCAAACTCTTGCTGCTGCAAAGCTATCGCCAGTTGGAGATCGGGGCTGCAGAACAAATTCAACATCAATCAATCAATCATGAAACCATTTCAAAGACCATTGATTTAAATTCCGAAATATGCACCTCCACATGAGAAAACAATTCTGGTGCCAGTAACAGACACAAGGTTTAAAAGGACTGGATTCTAGCAAGCACAATTGATTCCAGTAACTTTCAACGAATTACTTACTTGATATTCAAACCTGCTTCTGATGCACTGTTGATGCTGGCAAGATAATCCTTGAAAGCATAAAAGAAAAACAGAAGAGAGAGATCAGGTAGGATAAAGCATGGATAAGAAGAAAGGAAAAAGAAAACAAGAAGAACAGTTCAGACAGTGGAATAGAACATACAGCAGTACTGGAGACAACGTTTTGCTCGTTCCATGCACCACCTGAGCCACTGTCCATCTTGAAGACCTTGAAGTTACTGGTCATGAAGACAGTGTCACCATTAACCTGAAACCCAGTTGGCAAGTCAAAAAGTTGTAATAAAAGTCCAAATCCGAGACAGATATGAGCGCAAGATTTGAAAATACCTCATTCAGCTTTTCCCAGACCAGGTCTGGCTGATTCAGATAACCTTGATCTGTAGCCAGCAGATAAAGTTCACCTTCATACTGAAAATGGAAATGAAATTTCCTCAGATTTAATGTAAATGATTGGGGATTGACCACCAAAATACTTTCAGGTTACTGACCCCAAAGATGGCAAAAAGCTACAAATTATATCCCAAGATCCAGACTGACCTTGAACATGGAGCTGAAATGGTTATTGCGGAAGAAGACACAAAGTTCACGTTCTTTAAGCCCTTCTTGCAAACAGAAGAGTCTGGAAAATATGATCATCAATAAATGTAAAATATTCCGGTGAAGTAAAAGAACTAATTACATAAATAATTAGACAACCAGATGATATTAACACGCACCCGCAAAAGGTTAATTGACTAGCATTGTTTTCCAAGAAGTTCCTGATCAGATACCCTGGCAAAAGTCGAATAGAGTGAAGATACATCAAGGGAAAACACAGAAGCATGAGAATTAGGAGCTTAACAATGCTAGCGCTTCTGCACAGAAAGGAATCAATGTATCAATTTCCACAAATATGGGAGCATACAGACCGACCATTGCTTACCTTCTGCTGGAGTGAGGCCATCAGCAGCGGATCCTTCAGAACAAGGATGATCAGCATCGCTCTTCTCGGCTTTTCTTCCAAGAAGTGACTCACCTTCATAAACAGGCTCTTTGTCTTCACAAACTGCAGCCCCTGAGTTAACACATTCCTCACCTTCATACATGGGCTCACTGGCAGCTTCACTTATAAAAGCACTGGGTACATCATCACTCTGGGATCTGTGACTAAAATCCGAAGCTGCAACTGGCAAAAACTTGAGTAAGCAACTTCAGCTGTAGCATTTCAAAAAATACTCTTACCCATGTCAGGGATTGAAATTGTAGTAGACAATTAATTCTTCACCATTTCATCGAGTAGAGAGACACTCATGAGGTTTCTGTCATCTAATGGTGGAAGATGTTACCTGGATTTAGAGAACTACCATCCTCGGACTTGGGCAGAATCACATCACTATTGAGAGTTGTGGTTGACTCAAGATTAGTCTTCTCCACAGAGAGCATCTCAGAAGTTGCTACATCCACAGGGGTGCTTTCACTGCTCTTCTCAGTCCCTCCATCACTAATTGTCTCATCTCCAGACTTCTTATAAGATATCTGATCATGGTCAGGAGCTGCTGCCCTGCTTTCAGTGGTCGACGAGGCCAGACATACCTCTTCGCCCACATCAATCTTATTTCCACAATTCCCTGATGTATTGTTGTCACCAGATTCGGGCTGTCCAAGCTGACCGATATTACCACAATGGGTGTTAGCATGACCATCTACAAGCAGAACTTCAGATTTTTTTATTTCATCTGAAAGTGCAAACACGGATACTCCATTCCTGGAGTCTCCTCCATAAGCATCATGGATTGAAGAAGGCCCTTCCTTCTCTGACAATTGCAAGGCTCTCAACAACTCTGCTCCTTCTTCAGTATCACCTTTTCTAAGTTTACGATGCTCTGCAGCCGCAGGTGGAGAATCTTCAAAAGATCTGGTTTTTGAAAGACATGGTGAAGGAACCCCGAGTGTTGCAGTTGTCGCAGCAACAAAATCAACTGAATCTTCAACAGGATTCTGGTCACATTGAGACGCTCCATTTTGTGGCTCCAAGGCAACAAGCTCACTCATTAAAGCGTTATAAGACTTGCAACCTATCGCATTAGCGGTTTCAATATCCTAGAGGTCCACAAAGTGAAAATAAAATGAAAAGGAATCCAGAACAGATGAAACAATATACAAGTTCTTTACTATAGAACCAGAATACAATGAACCAAGAGATGGTTTGTAAGTATATAGCAGCCTATGCTTTGTATCTGATTACATGAAGAAAAAACATAACACAACCTCTAAGAATCAGGAAAATGCTCTAGGTTGTAGTCATAATTCAACATGAAAGTAACATAGGTTGAAAACCCCAAACCCAAGGCAAACACACACACAGAGAGAAGCATACACAAATGAAGGAAAACATTACAAAGAATTTGCTGCGTCTTAATGTTCAACAATCAATATTTACATAATTTGTGTATATGTGAAATAGAAGATTTACAAATGGACAAAGCCATTGAGACAAAGCATAAAAAAAAGTGATGTACCTGCGGATCAACTATCCATCCATGATATAAGGGAATGTCAAGTAAATCAAATATAGCACACTCCGGTGTAAACTCAAAATCATCAATCCTGCAAGAGTGTGAACACATTCAGATGATGGGAGAATTTTAAAGAGGTATGAGAAACAAAGATGATCAAATCACATATATAAGATCGACCTCCTGAATTTTATATTGACATCAATTCCAGTCGCAAGGCGTTCAAGATGATCAATGGCATCAGCAACATTCTGTTGCTGGTTCTCAATATATTCTTTATCTTTGTTCTGCCAAGAACAAGCAAAAGAAGGTTAGTTTGAAGACTCAGGTCATAAGAAGACACTACTAACGGGAAACAAAAAGTCAGCTGATTACATCAACATTACTATTGGAATCAATCAGTCTTTCAGCCACAAGAGACAGCAGTCTCTCTTGAGAAACTTCAGAACAGTCAGGATTTAGATTCAAGTTGTTCCTCAGGAGAAGAACATTACCTGTTACATCCAAAAATCGACAACAGACAAAACATTAAATGGAAGATGCAATACGAGACAGGCAAAGAAATCAGTACAAAACGATGAATAACCAGATTATCAACACAACTCAGAACAGGGAGAGAGAAAATATATAGCAACATTTCTCTAGCCTTCAACCAGAAACGTTCCGAGACACTGAGATATCCATTCCATAAAGCAACATTTCCATCATTCAACCTTAACCTTTCTTTCCACCACTCAATCTAACACCAATCCATCCATTACTTTTTCCGTTACTCAATATCAACACGAAAAAAACTAAAATTAAAGATATCGACACCGCGATTCTATATACTTCGCTCTCGAATCATCTAAACGAAAATTATAAACCCTAGGAGACCGAAAAAAGTGCAAGAACACAAGAGAGGCAAAGATGAACATACAGATTGCTAGGAGAGGACAAGGTCCATTCTCGTTCTGGAGAATGATAGGCGTTGTTCGTCCGAGGAACTGAATCGTCTTGGCCTTGTACATGACCTCCTCCTTGGTTTCCTTTTCCACCTCTTGCCGATTCGGTTCGAGGTCCTTCGCCTGCGACTCTTTGCTCGGAGAAGCCGAGGACGGAGGAGGAGAAGACGAAACGGTCGCCATTGATGATCCGAGAAAACAAATAAAAAGCTCAAAATCCAAATCAAATTCGACCTTCGAAGCAGCGAAAGATAAACTGGAATTTCCAGAGAAAATATTCTTCTGATCCGAGCGAGCGAGCGAGAGAAGAAGGATGGAAATTCAATTTATAGTGGCAGATCGTGAAGTTGGCTCGACCACAAAACCGAACCGAAACTAACCCAAGACCAAATTCGGTAAACGGCCAAATGCCCTTCGTTAACCCTTTTTCGGTTTATCGAATCGAACTGGAAATTGCATTGATTCTAACGGCAGTCGTCTATAAATTAAGATAAAATCTCGTTCAAATTTTACTCATAAATTTATGGATAAAATTATGAACCGGTCCAACTGCTATTTCCGGTTTTTGGCCTTTTGGAAACCCAAAACACAAGTCGTCTAAATCCATGACGGCTCGGTTTTAACCGAACAAACCGGTATCTTTAAAGCGTATCTTCTGGTCGGGAAAGGCGGATTAACGAGTATTTATCCACAACTCATCGTTACTTCCGAGGTAGGGAGAATTAATCACCTTACTGTGAATTGCAAAAAAAAAATGTTTACACATAATAATAGCAGAATATTGTAAAATCATGATTTATTAATTTATCCATAATTGAGCATTAAACAAAAACAGTACACTTGTCTTGCGGTTTAGTAACTTGCCCTTATTCCACTTCAACGCCCCATTAAGAGAAGCTTATCAGTAACCAACAGATTTCAGTCAGAGACCACTTGCCATTGGAGAGTTCGGCCGGCAAACAGGGGGACGATCTCTCCAAATGAGAAGGAGAAAAGCTCAGGAACCTTCCATGGATCTCTCTTCAGTGTCACCTTCGACGAGTTCCTGGGGACGCCATAGAAATCAGGTCCATTAAAGCTCGTGAAAGCTTCCAGTTTATCAAGTGCCCCTTCCTGAATGTGTTAAAAGAACAAACATTGGGAGAAAAAAAAAACACAGGAAAGTTTCAACAGTAAGATGATGAATAGAGTTATTACCTCCTCAAAGACCTTGGCGTATAAGGACAATGCAATGGGAGAACTGTAAATACCAGCACAGCCGTTTGATGATTCTTTTCTTCTCCTTTCGTGTGGTGCACTGTCTGTCCCGAGGAAGAATTTCTTGCTCCCGCTAGTCACCGCTTGAACAATTGCCTCTCCTGTACGATTAGTTAACAGTATGACATGAAACGAGTGGTTGTAAGGAGAGAGAAACACGGGATTTCGAAAGAAGAAGGAGAGGAACAGACTGTGCATTTCTCTTTTCAGGACCGGAAGACAATAGTTATGAGGCTGCAATCCGCCTTGGAAAAGGGAATTCCTGTTGAGGAGGAGATGTTGGGGTGTGACCGTTGCAGCCACGAATCCTGGAACCAGTAAAACAAGAAATCTACAATTCAGACATGATAATGGCAATCTCGAGCAACAGAGGTAGCGAAAAATATAGGATGAAAACAAAACCTTCTTTGCAAGATTCAACAAACTTAACAGCATCCATTGTTGTGATATGTTCCATAACTATCTTCAACTGTGGAAGCTGTTGGATCAGAGGTTCTAAAACTGTCTCAATGAAGACTTTCTCACGATCAAAGATATCGACATCCGGATCCGTGACCTCCCCATGAACCTACACAAAGACAACCCGGGAGTGTAAAGGATGAGAAAACATGAGAAACCATGTACATGTTGTCTGATGTTTTACCAGTAACGGCATGTTTTGTCGAACCATCTCCTCAAGAACTGACAAGCATTTGCCAAAGAGGTCGGTAACACCGTCTTGAGAGTTAGTTGTGGCTCCAGCAGGATACAACTTCACCCCGTAAACCACACCACTTTGCCCTGTAATGGCGAATCAAAAGCTCAAAAAACCAGAAACCGTCATATCAGAGTTTATCATATCAAAACGTTGAGAGTTCATCTTGTTCCAGAAGCTCTAAATGCTGACCAAATCCTAAGTTTAGGGATGGAACTTACTAGCGAGCTTGATCTCACTGGGACTGGTCGTGTCTGTCAGGTAAAGGGTCATAAGTGGATCAAAGCTACTCCCACTAGGCAGAGCTTTCAAGATGGATTCCCGATATGCAATGGCAGCTGCCGTGGTGGTTATAGGAGGCTTCAGATTCGGCATCACTATCGCTCTCCTGAAAGTACTCGCACTATACATATATACAACAGACCCTTTTCATCAGATCCAGCACGACCACAAGAAAAAAAGACTGAAATGGAGGAATCATATGACACATAACATAGGCAGAGCTCTATGGGAAGCACTAGATGAAGGAATTCATGTAGCCAGAATCACTTAAAATCCAATAATTAATTTTTTTTTTAAAAAGGGAAATTGGAGAGGGAAGGGAATGGGATAAGACCTGTGGGGAGCAACAGCATGAAGAAGATCGCTGTCGCGGAGATGAAGATGCCAATCATCAGGTTGGGTGATTGTGAGTTCCATTCTTGCTGCTCAAATCCCAGTTCCTGAGATCAAAATGCCTATATACACGAAACCCACATGCCCTACACTCACTGTACGCCTTTGGATGAAACGAGCAGTGAAATAACGAACAGAGACTAGTAGAGAAGGGAACACGCATTGCAAGGGGGAAAAAGCCGAAGTCTTTCATCATCTGAAGACTTACCAAAACTCGCCTTTTCCAAAACCCAAGAACAACAAATTAAGATGCACACATCCCCGAAAGATCTGCAATTTTTGTGATCCGATCAAATGGGTAAAGATCAAGTATTCGGATGAAAGGAAAAGACTTTGTGTTTGGAAGGGAATAAAAACATACGGGTGCTATCGAAAACTTCTGGGTTTGGGATTTTCTCTTTAAAAAAATCTAAAAAGTTCGTAAATTCCCGATCTTACATGGATTGAGAAGTTAGGGTCCGATTCCGCCTCCGGGTCACCGAGTTAAACGGCGACACGGCGGTGATCCGGGATTCGCAGGTAAGCTCCATGATCATCATGCCATTATCGAAAAAATTAAATTATTAAGCAGCTGACGGAGAATTACTCTGGCCAAAGAGAGTAACACTAGTAACCCTGCTATTTTCTTTTCATATATTGGATTTTTCAAAGGCTGAAAGATTTGATTTTGGTATTGAGTATGAAGAATTTATATCTAGGGAAAAAAAATATGAACAAATGTGTCGTATTGGACCAGTTCACAGGGAAATTATAAAATTTAGAATTAAAAAAAAAACTCAGTTGCTAAGCCTTCATTTCAATTTTTTTAATCCATTAGTCAAAGTCTTCTTTATAACGTTTTCCTTAATAGTATCCATTATCGTATATCCGTCCAGTGAATAATCATATCGTATATCTATCCATTATTTAGACTTCACATTTGAAATTACCATCGACATCATTCTGAAACATTTCAATATTTTTAAAATATTAATATAAAACATTTTAATATTATTAAATGAATTAGATTAAATTAAAAAAATTGATATTTATTTCCCATATTTTATAAAATTAGGTACTTATATTAGATTTTTTCTGTATCAAAGAGAAAAACGCGGATGGAAGTGGGAGTCAAAGTCAAAGTCAAAGTCAACAATCGGACAAAATGATAAAGATGGAGGACAAATGACAGACTCTGCATAACATTATTGCGCTGCCTAAGCTTGATTCGCTTCGTTTCAATGGCGGGTTCGGTCTTCCTCGACGCCATTTTCAGGCGAAGGAAGAAGCATATGGTGTTCAATAGTATGTATATCCGTTTCTTCTCCAACTCTCTGGTTTCATTCATGTAAATTATAATTATTGTCAGATATATATATATGGACTGTCTCTGCAGCCGCCATGGAATTCGATTTTCACACCATTAGAGCTGCAACTAGTGGGTTCTCGGATATCGTCGTATTCAACTCTCTGTACAAGGTTTCAGTCACGTGCAACACTTTCCGAGAAACTGAAACTTTCCCAGGAAAATTTCTTCAAAAGGGTTTGTTGTTGTTGAAATGTCTTTTTAGGGCAAGCTTCCTGATGGACAAGACATAGTAGTGAAGATACTGTCCAGAGACTTGCCATGGGTAGAGAGAGTGATTCACAGTGAGTGCCGACTGTTATCAAGGCTTCAACACAAGAATCTGATCAACCTCGTTGGCTTCTGTAATAACCGAAACAGATTCTACCTCGTCTTCGAGTTCATGCCTAACTCGAGCCTCGACAGATTCATTCACGGTGAGTTAATTAGTTCATCTAAGTTCTAACGCTCGGTAGGATTCTTGTGTATGTATGTATGTGTATATTGGTTTGAGTTCATATTTGTGTATGTGCTTGTTAGAACCTTCAAGGGCTTTTCAAATTCCATGGGAGATATGTCGAAACATCATCGGAGGCGTAGCTCGAGGGCTCCGTTACCTTCACGAAGAATGCGGGTTACGCGTTATTCACCGCGACATCAAACCTGCAAACATTCTCTTGGACGCGGAAATGAACCCGAAAATCGCGGGGTTTGAACTGGCAATGCAGACCCGAGAAATCGAAAGCGAAAACTATAACACGGAAATCGCAGGGACGGCGTAAGTAAAGCATAAGTTATACACACCGAGATTCTTACTAATCTGGTGATGAATCAAGCAAGATATTTTGCTAATGATTGACAAAAATGTATTTTCAAAACATGTTTTCAGAGGGTATTTAGCTCCGGAGATCCTTACTTCAGGACGTTTTTCGGCTAAATCTGATGTCTATAGCTTCGGAATTCTGATCTTGGAGATCATCAGCAGGAGGAGAGTTCTTCAACCCGAGGAACATCTCGTAACCTATGTAAGTTACATACACCAATATCTATAACTTATAATTATAATCAGACTCTCATACCATATACAATAAAATAAACTATTGCTATAGATTTAGTACTATCTCTATAATAAACGTTCGTTTGTGTTTTCAAAGGTCCGTAGATGTTGGAACGAAGGAAGATCACTCGATATCGTCCATGAAGATCTGAGAGAAGACGACTCCATAACCGAAATCACGAGATTCATACACATTGCTCTGCTCTGCGTAGACGAAAACGTGGAGACAAGACCTAACGCAGAGACAGTTCTTCACTGGTTTAGTTGCAGAAGCTCTGCAGCTCTGCCTCTTCCCTCAACAATGGCGTCTTCTGCGCAGTATGAGTCTCTGTCTTCTCCCACCAGCTCTGTGACATTATCGGACAGTGAATTTGTTTAACTGCTAAACGTGTTTCATTACATGTTCTTGAATGCATAAAAAAGGCAGAGATATATCATCTGTTTATGTGTGTTACAATACAATATTCACGTCTCTGTTATTATTTAAAAAATTGCTTTTCCATTATGGTTTAATTCAAGAGTTTGATTGGTCAAAAAAATGTTCGCTTTGGATTTTCCTCATTAACAACACTAAACAATCCAAACCAATGTTTTACGTTTTCGATTTCATTGACAAATCAAATCAAATCAACATAACCGGTAATAACCGACTAAACCGGTAGAATTCCTCTAATACTCTACACAGAGTTAAATAGAACACTGAAGGAGCCGACTAAAAATGGTCGAATCAAAATTTAATTTTGTCGTTGGACCACCTTATGATTCGTCGTCGGATATACTAATCCTTGAATTCAGAAAACTTAAACATCAAATGATAGGATACAGCCTGTTAATGCTTTTTTGTGGATTTAGCCCACCACTTATCTCTAAAAGCAAAAAACAAAAAGGACCTAATTTCAATCTAACTATCGAACCGGTTCGTTATGGCCTTAACCGGAACCGAATCTGAGTCTTGTGGTACCGTACGACCGGTTCGTGCTTTATCCGAGACAGATGGACCCAAGAAGACGGTCTTTGAAGCAGCCATTTGTAAGTATCGGTTCAAAGACACATAACGAAACTCATGCACTGCCGAAAATGGAGGCCACGTGGCATCTCTCTCGTTCAGAATATAGATCCGAGTTTTGTTTTGTCAAGATCTTGTCACAGAAGTTTGGAATATGAAGCAAACTCTCTAAAACCGCTTCGGCGATTGTTTAGCCTTACACGCTTCAAGAACCCTAGTTATCGGGAAGAAATTCGGAAAAAAAGGGAGCGAAAATATCACAAGGGCGAAGATTAAAGCGAAAGCAAGCTCGATTTGGGTTCAAAGTTACAAGCTTTGATTGGGTTCCTGTGTTGAGCACGGAAGAATTGCGTGCGATTGAATCGAATCTCGCGAAAGGGTTTCTGTATTTGGGTCTTTATCTGCTTGCCCGTATCTGCAAAATTGGATCTTCGAATCGGCGAGAGAGAGATTATTGGATAGAGATGTGTAGTTTGGCGCCGAATCTCTTGCTCCCGATAAAGCTGAAACCTTCAGATGCACAGAGCAGTTCGCTCTTCGTCACGAGCAGAAGATCCAAAAGGAAGAACAAAACCATCGCTCCTGTAAGGTTTCTATCATTTTCCTGGGAAAATTTCTGGTCTTTTGGGGACTTTCTCGCTTAAGTTATGTGTTCCTGTCATCTACAGTCTACGCTGCTTTTTGAAGCTTCTAAACCAGATTCAAATTCCAGTTCTTCACGGGTTTTACAATTGTTTTGTAAATTCGTGCCCTTTCAATTTTGGGTTCTTATAATTATTTCGTTGGTTAATCCATCTGAAGCTCTGTTCTGTTTCTGGAAAATCCCACAAATCAAAATCCAAGGTTCTTTTTTTTTCCCCTGACCGAAGAACAAAAGTCTCATGTGTTATTTGTCTTGTCTCAATTTGGGATACTGATCTTCCTTTTCTTGAGAAACATATTCGATTGTCCGGTTCTATTGATTCAGGTTGCAAGACTGTTCGGGCCGGCAATCTTCGAAGCATCAAAGTTAAAAGTGTTGTTCTTAGGGGTAGACGAGAAGAAGCATCCATCAACTCTGCCAAGAACTTACACTCTCACCCACAGCGATATTACCGCCAGATTGACTCTAGCCATCTCTCATTCCATCAATAACTCTCAGGTAAACCCTAAGCCCTAAACCCTATCCTCTCTGCCATATCTGCAGACATAAGCCCAGATTCATATATCGACGACATATAGATACATACGTGTATCAAAACGTGACATCTCTTGGGATTTGGTGCATTTTTTCAGTTGCAGGGATGGGCAAACAGGTTATACAGAGACGAGGTGGTGGCGGAATGGAAGAAAGTGAAGGGGAAAATGTCACTCCATGTTCATTGTCACATCAGCGGCGGCCATTTCCTTTTGGACCTCTGCGCCAAGCTGCGCTACTTCATATTCTGCAAAGAATTGCCAGTGGTAAATCCTCTGACAAATCCTTGGAATCACCGTTCTTTAGTTCGCCATTATAACACAGAGAGAGATGGGATGACTGTAGGTGTTGAAGGCATTCGTTCATGGAGATGGTAACTTGTTGAACGAATATCCTGAACTACAAGAGGCTCTGGTGTGGGTATACTTCCATTCCAACGTCCCGGAATTCAACAGGGTCGAGTGTTGGGGGCCACTCTGGAGGGCTTCGTCGCCCGATAACGGCGGGAAAATCCTGTCGGAGGAGCGGCCTGAGGCTCAGTGCCAGGAGGAGTGTGAGTGTTGCTTCCCGCCGGTGAGCTCGATCCCGTGGTCCAACGGTCATTCCGGCGGCTGCGAGCCCGGTGAACCGAACGGTTACTGTAGGATCCAGCCGGAGGGAATTGCTCCTAGTGATTAATATGGTTGATCGTTGACGGTTGATGGTTAATGATGAATGTTCTCTTTCTTCCTTTCTTTTTGTTGGTGGTTGGAAAAAAAAAATGAAGTGTGTGGTGTTCGGTGTAAGTACAGCGGTCGTTTGGTGTTATAGGATATGTATATTTTAATGAATTTTAAATTTTTTTAATTATATGTTAACATTATACAAGATCCAAAGTTTTGAGCGTGCCATGTAATTGAAAGTAAATGTTAGGAGAAGGGAAAATATTATATAAAAAAAAAAGAACATGTGAAAGGAAGGAGAAACGTGTAGGCAGACGACCATGACCCACACTTCGCCTTGACTTTTACATTTCGCTCATCTATATACAAAAATCTTATATCAACATCAACAATAATATATATATATATATACAAATTAATTTAAATAAGTAATATATAACTCATAAATCCCTTGATATCTTAAATTCAAGCTCCAAAAATGACCCTATCCGTTTTATCAAACAAAACGGGCGTTGACCGGAATGTGTTAACCGGACATGGTCCAGGACCAGTACTAACTCCGGTTATCGCCTGATCAAATCTATCAAACCTTTCTACAAGTCGTTTCATCTTCCTCTCTCGTCATTAACCACTGTAACAAAAAGAAAGATGGAGACTTTGAGTTTAGTTTTTGGATAGAGGCAACAAGATATATAATTATATATATATACAGACAGTACAAGACTAAACCATTCTACAGGACAACGACCGCACTTCAAGAACATAGATCCGATCCAATCTGTACATACACAGGAAGTAAGAAGGGGAAAAAAAACGAAATTCTACAGCAAAAAATTTCAAAGGCGAATCTGAAGCTGCTGCAACTCAGGAGGTTGTTAAACTTGCCCCCACTTTGGTTTGGTTTGGTTTGGTTGAGAAGAGAGACCAAAACACAGCTATTAATGGAAGAGAGACAATCAGCTCTTGTTTGTGTTTGGTGTTGTCTGCCATCACACGTGTTATTTTCACCTTATCGTCGTTCTGCCAAAGGAAGACGCCCCGATTTCGCTCTCCGTGTTCTGATCAATTACGTATCGGTCAGTTTCGGGATAAACGGGTTTTGTTTATTGGTCGAAGGGTGAAGAGAAAATGGGTTCATACCTGAGATTTTGGGGAAGGGAAGACATTCCAGAACCTTAGAGTCTCATCTCCTGCTCCCGTCACAATCGTCTGCTCGCAACAATGTCGAAACATTATTAAGATCAAATGCCAACAAACAAACTCTAGAGATTGTTGATTAAACAGAAAAGTCCATACTCAGAGGGAATGATAAGCTGTAAGAAGAAGAAGAGAAAGACAAACCTGTCCATCGGGTGAGACAGCAAGATAAAGAACACGGTATGTGTGACCAGTGAGAGTCGCCAGCTGCAAATCCCAGAGCAAGAAAAAGGCTTAATCTGAGAACTCCGTCCATAAGATTTGTTTTCAAAAGGGGAAAAAGGGAAAGAAAAACAAAGGAAACACCGTAAGTGAAGACAAAGCTCAAATGCATACTTTTGACATGCTCGGGTATTTCCAGACGATGATTTGGTTCTGAGAGTATCCATGGGTACTGACAAGCTCGTTTACGTTTTTCGACCAGACCAGATTGCATACCTGCCATTCGTAAAACCGAGCGATAAGCCCCCAAAATAAACCTGACACGAAATGTCTACCTTGTCCTCAATTGCATTTATGCAATTACCTGACTGCCAGTGTCCATGCAACTCAAATGAGTATTGGTGGTCGTGTTCCAGAAACGAATGCATCTATCAGCAGTACCACCGCCCGAAGCAAGAAGTCCATGGAGATGGGGAGACCAAGCAATGGCTTTAACAGCTGCTGTGTGTTCACAGTATTTCAGAACCGGTTGAGTTGAATGTTGGTTCCATACTAAAAGCTGCAAAATTTACAACAGTTGGCCAGTTAACATAGGAAATATATGTATATGCCTTTACCGAAAAGAACCAAAGTAAACTAAAACGAAAATATTTTTTACCTTATTGTCGTTTCCTCCTGATGCCAGCTCACGGTTGTCATACGACCATTTTAGTCCGCATACCTCAGATTTGTGCCCTGATAGCTTACTAGCGTAATCTTCTGAAGCCCGTATATCTCTTTGAAGAATACTTTTGTCTCTGCTACCAGAAGACAGAACAGATGAGCTCCATGCTAGGGCTCCGACTCGTAGACGATGACCTTCCATTGTCCTTATTCTCTTGCACCGTGATGCATCCCAGATCTAAGTCAGAGAAATAACAGAGAGTGCTCATTAAAATCACATCTGACATACTGCCAAAGCTAATAAAGAAAGTCCTCCACAGAAGAAACATTCGAGAGTTTTTCCCTGTCTAGCCAAATGTTTAACTTCACTCTAGTCATGGCCAAAATATTTTCCGCCTTATCCATTCGGGATTGGACGTGGGACTTCGTCTGAATAGTTTCAACTCAGGGATTATTATAAAAAAGCAAAGACCCAACTTAATGCAGCCCAATATGATCGGGAGGACTATAAGAGCATATTAACATCATCTTGCAGTAATGCAACTATCTATACAACTTCCACTGAAAGAAATGTTATGCCTGCAGCCTGCCATTACCAAGAATTCCCTTCCTAATGTGCATCTTCACATACACAGGTTCATAAGTATATGAGAGTTGACATATATGATTTAAGGCTAATGTATGTGGAGTTTGATCATCTAACCTGTACTTTCCCGTTACTAGTTCCAACAGCCAGATGAGTTCCACGCAATGCCCAACCAACTGAGCACACACTATCATCAACTCCAAGATCGCATAGTTTAGTTACCTGGAAAACAAAAGGAAGATGGCCTATTTAAAATCCTCAAAGCCATTGGTCATGCATTAGGCAAACGATAACTCACCTTGCTACTACAAGCGTTCCACAAATACACGCAGTTTCCCAGTCCCACTGCAAGAACATTCTGTCCAGACCAATCCACAAGATTTAAGTAAAAATCATCTTGCAGGGCTGGTGCGTCCAATACCTAACAGAACGAATAAGTGTTCATCATCATCTCTTGCAGGCATTACCCACATTCACTAAATCCAGATCCAATTACATGGCAGGGTATTGTATATCATCAATCAAACAGTCAAACATTGTGAAACCCAGAACTCCAAATACTTCGTTCATAAATACAAGAAAGAAGAGAATTCAGATCAAATTCAAAAGTCAACAGTGCCCAAAACCATCCAAGAACAGATCAGTCTCACCAAAACCACAAGGTCCTAACAAAATCCATGTTTGACCATCAAAAGGATCCGCAAACCCTAAGCCCAGAAGCTATCTAACTCTAGATCATCAAAGAATCACATAAATTCCACCAAGATCCAAACCCTACAAACAAACGACGCACCTTATACGGAGACCGCGGCACTTTCCTCGGCGTCTTGACAGGGCTATGGCTAACACCAGGAGACTCGTCGGACCCAAACGGCGAGAACGATTTCACAGGCCGCTGCGTCTCCGTCTTATACCGGAAAATATTCCGCGACGGAGAGAATCCTGCAACATCCCTCTTCTCTGGCGTGTCCGGTCCGAACAGCGCAGCCCGCAAGAGGCTCGCGTACGAACCCGACCCATCTTCCTTCCCCTCCTTGTTCGGCGACGGGGCGAGATTAAAAAGTTCGAAATTGGACCCGGATCTGCTGGGAATAAACCTGTCGGAGTATATCGGCCTCGACGGTGAAGTGTAGTGATTGGCGTTGATTAAACGATTGATACGGGTCTCGAGCGAAACCGTCGGTCGAGTCATCCACGCTGGGAGATTCAGCTGAGAAGACGACGTCGTTTGCTTGGTCGCCTTGGGATCTTCCATGGTTTCCCCAGGCTTCTTCCAGAGTTTTTAACAATGGCGACTGATGAAATGGCTGTGATTATTTTTTCCTTTTTTTATCTTTCCTTTTTTCTCCCTTCCCGGGAAATCTAGGAGAAACAGAAAACGTAAAGTGAACTGGTGCGACGGAGAGAGAATCCAGTGCGGTGGGGTTTATAGTAAGAGGGTAGGGTAAGTCCTGATGGAATCGGGACCGTTAGATTGGACTTGGTTATCTGGGCTTTTATGTTAAGCCCACAAAGGGGCATTTTTCTCTTATTTTGGGCTTTTAACCATCTCAAAATTCGGACCAGCTGTAAACATTTTTCAGCGAATAAAAGAATACAGAGTTGCTTGTTTGTTCTAAAGCAAGAAAAAATCACCATTACTTAACAAAAGATTGCATGCATCTTACGACATAATCATTTGCAATAATTAGTATTATGCTTCTCTATAACAATATCATAATTCCCTAGTAAGATAGATTTGTATAATGTCAAATTATATATTATATAGTTGACGTAGACTAAAATTAACTAACAGGCTATAGAGAAAAAAGATTTGCGATTTGGATGAACATTTTCTTGAATCTTACGTATATAAATCAAGATACAATTAATTGATCGGACTAATCCGTTATTATGTTCAAATAAAAAGAATAAGGACGACTATACCAAAGGGAATGATGAATATAATAAAGTTCGACGTTATTCATATATAGATATAACATATAAAATACTGGAATTATATATGTTTTCTACGTATAATCCCAGATGAATGAATTTCCTAAAAATAATGAAAAGGAATATTTTTTTTTTTTCTGAAAACAAGAATCAAACAAAGGTAAATTAAAAAATTATCTGAAATGAAGGACGATAATTGTTAACAAAATACCTATCTGGGACTGGGAACACTTCTTGCACCAGAAGAAGCAGGAGCCCTAACATGACCCACCATTGAAACCTGGAGAGCTTCTTCTTCATAAGCTCTCCTCTCCATCTCTTCTCTCATGGCTTTCTTCTTCACCTTTACCACCATCGCTACCACCAAAAGCCCCAGCAAAAACGCCCCTATCCCGCCGCCGATCACGCTCCCCACCGCCACTTTCCACCTGCTCAATCCGCCGTCTCTTCCCGCCGCCGGAGAATCCACCACTCCGCCGCCGTTTCCTCGGCCCTTTTCCTCTCTTCTTCGAGCTTCTATCACTAATGCGTAATGCCCTTGTGTTGTTCCCGTGCATACGTATGGCGAAACTTGCTCTCTGAACGTCGTATTACCGTTGCCTTTGAAGCACGCGCACATGATGGAAGAGTTCATCGTTTTAGGGTTTGTAATTGCCTTGATGTTCAAGAAATCTATCAAGATCGGGTTTTGATCCTTGCCCTGAATGTTAACCTCGTAAGGGTTGTTAGCTACGCCGTCGGGGTTAGCGTTGTAGGCTAACAAACCAAGAACCGGAGAAACGAGCTCGTACCCGTGACCGGTTAGGTTAAAACCGGTGGAGTAAATCGAAGACCAGTTCGAACCAAGGTTCTGTTTCACCAACATGACTCTCTCCGCGCTTGGTTGGATCGTTACGCCAGGACCCATGTGAAATTCTCCGATTCTTGCACCGTATCTTCTCAGACTACCGCATCTGAACTTCACCGTCTCGATGCTGATTCCCGAGAAATTCAAAGGCAGGCGGATTTTCTGGATCGTGCCCGTTTTCAGATGTATATCGAAGTTTCTGAACGTGTAATCTCGGACAAGAAGATCGAGTAGATGTGCAGATTGGATTGTCTGTGACTCGGCTTTATCCGGAGATTGGAGAAGAATGATGATGACGATGATTACGATAATGAACAAAGTGATGAGGAATGAGCCCATGAGATGAAAGATATACAGAGATTCTGTGGTTGAAGTTTGAAACTCTCAAGTTCGCAATGGAAGGGAGAAGAAGAGGAAGAGAGAGAGAGAGAGAGAGAGAGAGAGAGAGAGAGAGAGAGAGAGAGGAAAGTTTCTGTAACCGATGTATGTATTGTAATTTATGGATGATACTCTTATAATTACAAAGTTTTAGCCCGACGGTTACTTGCAAGTATAGGAGTAACTCAAACCAGAAAATGTTTTACATAAGAAATCCAAACATTTTTATTCCATAAAACCCGAATAAATATTTGTTTTAGAGATGTCGAGAAAGGCTTTGAATTAATCCATAGAAAGAAAAAAAATTACGAGGTCTACCGGCCGAGAAAACTTGGATAAATGATGATGGAGGCATGGAAAGATGATAATGATTACACAAATTTAAAAAAAAAACGAATTGAAAAAGAAAAGGGAGACAATGGCGTGCAATGACTTTGCCCTTTGGGGCACTGTCCGGTAGATGTAAACCATGCCTTCGTCTTCATTGCATGTTCCCCACTTTGGTCGTTTTTAGACATACGACTATGAGTGTGTCTTCCATTTGATCTTTTTTTCCATTGATTCAATGATTCATACGGTATTCAAATTCGTCTAATGATCACTGTTATTCACATCACATGCATGCATGAACACAATAACATGGATTCTAGGTTTCAACATATACACATCCACACCAATATAAGAAAAATAAATTCAAAAACCAACTCAATAATCTCTTTTAATTTATCTTTATGCATATATATATATATATATATATGTACATAGTACTTTTTTTCTCTTCATTTATTTTTCTATAACGAGCAAATTCGCTTGAGGTGGTAGTAGATGTAGTAACCATATGGTGTCTCTTTCATTTCACAAACACATTACTTACAAAACAGAAACACATGGATCGATCATACAACACAAAACTATTTTTCATTTTATTCTGAAAAAAAAAAACCACCTGTTCTTCCTCCTCCTCCAACTGTTAGTATCAATACCACTACATGCATTTTGCCCTGTTGATTTTCCATGGGATCAAGATTTATTCATTGATCAGAGCTGTTATGAAGATGAATTTGGTAAGCTAAAGTTATTGCCTTGACGTACCTCATCGGGTTCAAGCTTTGCCACCTTCTGGCAATGTGATCAAACGGGTTTTCGAGTCGTATACCATCTCGGTTGCACAGCTAAACCGAAAACGAAAACCATGTGTTGTAAGAATCAGACAACATTCTAGGAATTGTAAGCTTTCTTGGATGCGAGTTTTTCAAAGTTTGGAAAGATTTTATCGGGAGCTTACTTGGCGCATTTGACGTTGTTGTTGGTTCCGCCGCTGGAGATGGACAGTATCGTTCCAAAGAAGGAGACGTTCTCTGTCCCGCAGTTTGGGCAAGGGCCCTGGGAAGAACATGGCCGAGAACGTTTTAGTGAGATAGATTAACTTTTACAACTTTTATGCAAAACGATCCAAAAGATTTTGATCGGAACGAATGGCCTTGGAACTACCTTCAAGATCAAGAAATCCTTAACGATAAGTTTGGTAAGAGATAGAGCAAGCCAAACTATGACAGGCACGGCGGCAAACCACGTGAAGATGAAACTGAATGGTTCGGAAAGCTGCAGATTTAGATGCGATAATGTAACGGTTACGATATTATTCCATACCAAGAAGTATGTTCGTTAACGAACATGAACGAGTCCAAAGACGGGTTATACCTCCAAAAGGTATGTGATCTCGAACCCCGTAAGATCGTCGAGGAAGAAAAACCTGCCGACCCATTGAAGGAGAGACATTATCTTAATGTGGTTTGAGTGTTGGAGAAATGAAGAAAAATCGGTAAATACTTATACTTACAGTCCGAGGGCAACAACGGTAGCTGGAACGTTCAACAAAAACATTTTGAAATAATCTACGGAGAGATCACTGTACACCTGCACATCGGGAATTCACAAGACTATGACAGTTTCTTATAGTAAAGTATAGTCCAAGAAATGAAATCGAGAGAGCATGAACTTGATACAGTCTTCAACTGCTGGTTACACACGGAATATATGTGCCTAGGAGTACATAGATATACACATAGATGCAGTGTCATAAAATCATGTGAAATACCTTTTTGCTACGGAGACTGCATCTTGGACCCTCAACCACAATTTCACTCCCGTCCATCTGCGGAAAAAAAGAGAGCGTAAATCGTAAGAATTCAGACAGTGAATTCACTATCCGGGTAAAACTAAGAACAACACGCCTATTGTTCAAAGTATAAGGTGGCAGAAACCTTCAGTTTCAATTTCAAATTATCATATTCTTCATCATTCATGATTGGGTTTCCAGACACATAAGCCATTGAAGCTTCCAAGAATCTCTGTTCATCAGAACCTGCGCGCAGGAAGTTGATCAAGACCAAGAATCTGAGCCTAACAAAGTGATCCATCAAGGGAAAGATGATCATAGTTTCTTACTTAGCATCACAACGCTGCTTCCTTCCCACATTAGCTCTTCTTTAAGGTTATCAAACTCTTCATTGGACATAACCGCTTTGCCCTCGTAATAGAATGCCTACAAAATGCGAAACAATGCTTAGGCTGTGAAAATTGTTGAACCATCTTTCTGACTCGATAAAAGTCAAGAATGTCTTGCGTTACTTGCATCGCTTGCAGAAACTCTTGTTCCATTTCGCCGATTGTTTTCTTTTCATTCTTGTTGATGCTACAATATGGTAAAATCTTGCTATCATCAACCTCTTCTCCTCCCACCTGACCTGGAAACCATTACAAGAATAGATCAAGAACTAAGGAACGTGTGAGAGTAAGCAAACTATTTAAAAGTTCGATCAGACGAAAATTTTGGCAACATTTATTATCGCGGGTTATTCATAATCAGTCCAATATGTATAATCGGCGGGGTAAACCCGAGACCTATAAAACAGTACCAAATCGAAACCAACCATTGGAAAACTCATCCTAGAGTCTCTAACCAATAACGATTTCACCGATAATCATCGGAATCAAACTCTGTATGATATTTCTTGGCATCTGCCATTCACTTTTAGCCATTGAATCAATCTACACCTACAAGGCGAGATAAATTGGCCAATAGAAATATGCAAACTTACAAAAAGTTTCCTTGATGGATCAATCCTGAGGAGATTGGGAACGTGGATAAAAGTTAACAGAGTCTTAAACCGAGATCATCGTCTGATGAGAAGAAAACTTCGATTACTCCATCACAGAACTGATGGACTCGCATTTTCAATCCCCAGAGACGAGTTTAATAATCAGTCATATTCCAAAGTTTTTATAGTAAATTTGATGCCAGAAGTATCCTAACCTAAAAGGCTACAACTTCGAAGTTCATTTAAACTCTACGAATAAGCATTCAAACCGATGCTCCAAATAAGCAGCTCCGGAGAAGAACATATACAGGTTGTGACATCTACGCTGTACGAAAATTCCCCGAAGCTACAGTTTCAATATCAAAATCTAAAATCAAAGGCAGGAATCTGACCCGATTGATCGGTAGTAGCTTTGGTGGGCAACAAGAACAGTCTTCTTCTGAGGGGAACTGATCTTCCATGGCTGAAGAGATTCCACTGTGCCTTCGAAGTCGTCGGAGAAGAAGGAGAGAAACGAGTGGTGGGTTTGCGAGAAATCGCCGAGAAAAATCGAGGGCTTGTAAGAGTGAACGCCATCTTGCTACCCATTTCCCGGGGAAACAGAAAAGGAAATGGCTTTCTATTGATTTCCTGGAAAATTCAGGTTCATTCTGATTTTTTTTTCTCTTTTGTTTTTTTTTTCCAAGGGATTTGGGTGTTTGGAGGGAAAATAATCAGGGGATAAGAGAGGTAGGATCGTGTGGAGAGGAATTCCTAGGCGGATCTCTGATATTTCTCTCCCTCTAATCTTCAGAAGAATAATGCCACGTCAGACCAAAATGTTGCTAAAAAAATTAAAAATGTCGAGGGTGATGCCATGTCAGCATATGGGATAGCATGACGTGGCATCCACTCTTTGGTGAAGATGTGGAGGGCTACTCTGGAAATATCTTCTCTATGTTTGATGGGCTTTCTCAGGTAAGAATTGAGGTTAATGGGCTGAACCTTATTAAGTCCATTAAGCCCAACGTTCCTCTGACTTTCACGTGGTTTGGGCCTTGAAAACATTGGGCCTCACTGAGAACGAACGCATTTCATCCAAGTTAAGTCTCACCTACGGGCAGTTTATTATTTCACAGCCTAATGGTGAACCGTTAGATGTATCCATCATTATATCCTGTCCGTTGGATTCATACATTTCGTCACCTTCACGAGAGCCGCACCAAAGAGGAGAGAGACGAAAAAAAAAAGCAAAAAAGGGAAGAGGAAACAGGAGAAATCGGGAGGGATGGTGAACAAGGATTAGGGCTGGCTTGGATTTCAGATAGCGAGTGACTCTGGAATTCTGGCGTTGTCTTTCTCGACTTGCTGTCCGAAAATCTCTGATAGAGAAGGTAGGGTTCCTGTTTCCACTGTTATTGTACTTTTTATCGGAGTGTGTGCTTGTTCATACTTTCTTCCCTTTTCACATTTCTCGTAGCTCTTTGACGGTTTTTGTCCATGGGTCTTCTTTGAATTGTTGTGGGTTTCTATCGAAATGGGTTATTGTTCGTGTTTTCGTACTGGATTGGGGCTCGCTGTACTGTTTGGTTTCTGGGAAAATGTTGGGAGAAAGAACCAAGGGGAAATCGTTGGGGTTAATAGAGGAGGAGCTCATATGTTAGCTTGTTTTGTATTATATGATTGGACTAGGATTATATTCTCTTGCAATTTAGACTATAGGATTGAACTATGGCAAGTCGGTCATAAATTGCGGCGACACATTCCTTGCTTATTATTGTACATTACAAACTAGATTCCTCAGGCGCTAAATTCACTATATTGTCAATCAAACTGATTGGTACCGTAAATACTCCATAACTAAGTGGTCACCGGCATTTAGTTTTCTGGGTTTGGTTGTAATTTTCTGGTTAGAGAATGGAGACCCTCTTCAGTATATAATCTGAATGATTTCATGTTTCTCCGCATTCCTTTAAGGGTGTCTACATTGCTTTGGACTGCATTTCTTAAGAGAACGACCGGTTTTTTGTTGGTGTGTTACGGCTCACTATTAACTGGTGATCGTCCTATATTATTGGTTAGAGTAGATCATATCTGCTTAGATGCTATCTCCTCAGATTTTTGTTTTTATTAAGATTCCTTTCCTGTGTAAGTTAATTTCTTTGTTTCAGATTTGAACAGGCAGTTATGTCTTCAGATACTGCCAAGGAAAATGCATCTGTTGTTGATTCATCTTTGACTGAATGGAAACATGACATAGGGAACTCCGATGATCCGGGTAACTGAATAGCATTGCTCGTTTTCACTTTTTTATTTTGTCGTTTTTATATACATTTGCAGAAACTTCCTTTGATTTGCAGTTTCCTTTTTTAATGTGTATGTTATTATTATTATTTTGGGGCAGAGAGTTCGACTTACAGAGGCAATGAAGACAATAATCCATCTAAGGTAGAAGTTGGACGAGGTAACTTTCCTGACCAGGTTGAGAGTTCAAACGTGAATAAGAATAGTAAACCGGCCTATAGAACAAGATATTTCATCATCAAGAGTCTGAATTATGAGAATATTCAATTGTCGGTCGGGAGAGGGATTTGGGCGACACAGGTCATGAACGAGCCAATATTGGAAGAAGCTTTTCATGTAAGAGCTGCTCGTTTTAGTATCGGTGCTTTTCTACTTTTATCTTTCTTGAATGGTTTATTGACACAAAATTATATGTTCTTGCTGTAGAATTCTGGTAGAGTAATTTTGATTTTCAGCGTGAACATGAGCGGTTTCTTCCAAGGGTATGCCCAGATGCTGTCACCTGTTGGGTGGAGGCGAGACAATATATGGAGTCAAGGAGGCGGCAAAAATAACCCATGGGGACGAAGTTTCAAAGTAAAATGGCTTCGGTTGAGCGAGTTGCCTTTCCAGAAAACCCTTCATCTCAAGAATCCTTTAAATGATTACAAGCCTGTCAAAATTAGTCGAGATTGCCAGGTATACTATGCCAACTTTATTTTCTTGTGCTTGCACCTTTTGAAATCTTTGCATCAGAATGCTGAATGCTGATGTTTGGTTGCACCAAAATCATTTCATAGCTCCTAAAAGGCCAAAAGCTTAATATATATTTTGAATTTTGGATAGCATTCTGAAACTATCTGTAATTTTTAACTTGAAGTTTATTAAACTAAATCCTGGCCCATGCGTGCTCTAGGAATTACCGGAAAATATCGGTGAGGCACTTTGTGAGCTCCTTGATGCATACAGCTGTGATGATGGGTTGCTGAATAGGTATCTCCTCGAATGCTAACTGATACTTTCGTTCTTGGATCTCCTCAGTTCTGCTCCATCTTGACTCTACTCTCATCAAGTTCTTCCAGGGATGATCATTCAAAATGGTCTCGCCAAGAACCTCCATCTTCCTCGGGAGAAGAAGACTATAATAACATGTCTAACTCTACCATACCATGGGGCCAGACAGCGATGCCTTACCCTCCTGTGGTCTACCCGAATCAGGATGATGTAAGCAGATTTCACTTTGCACAACAGAAGGGATTTGGGGCATCTGAATATTTCCATGCTTCAGGTGCATCTAACTCTCGTGTGGAGCAAGACAAGTCGTTACGATTCAACTCATGGGGTTTGCCTGTGGAGAGCCCTCTCGCTAGTACCCTGACCGAGGATGATTTTCTTGACATGGTAGTGGCATATCTGCATGTAACTTATGCTGAAACTTTTGCGGGATTGAGGTTTCTTGTTCTCGATGTAGATATTATTATCGTAAGCCCTGTTGTTAGTTGGAAGGAATATGGTTGTGGAACTCTAGAACCTTCGCCAAGCATCAAACTTCTGTAGTACCTTTTTGTTTTTTTTAACCTCTGAGCTTATTTCAGCAAAGCTCTTTTTGATCCACATCTAATTATGGTTCCCATATATGTTGGAACTTGGAGGTGAGCCCTGTCTTTAGAGTTTGGTTCAAAGTTTTGGTTTTACAATGATGTTACCAGGTTTCTCCTTCTGTTGCTCGAACATCATCATGAGCTCTAGCTGAGTGTGGTCTCATCTTGACAAGATCCTGCGATTGTTTGTTTTTTTTTTCTTGCAGTCTTATGAAGAGTACCTCGAAGCCCACAGCAGAAGCATGAAACAACTCGGTCTTCCTGTCAGTACGTTTATCTTTTATCTATTAATGTTTGATGTGCATTCTGATAAAAACCCATCAGAATCTTTGATCAACAATCTTGGATCTTCATTGTAATCATTGCATGCTCTATCATATAGTCGATGCAGTTACTTTCCTTGCACAAATGAACCTCTTTTCGATTGTTCCGAACCATGATAATGAATGATGGATGATGATCAACGTTTGGTTACGTTATGCAGGTTGTGCCACAAACATTGACCGGACGTGGGGGCCCTTCAAGTAAAAGACATGACCAGGATGACACGTGAGTTCAGTTTCCAGACCGATCATGATCCGAGATGTGATCTTCTCTGTTGGGTTTCTTGATCTGTTTTTTTTTCCTCCCTCATTTCCTCAGAAGCAATGGTTCGTCGAAGGACCGGTCGCCATCAAGGAAGAGGGGGAGACAGTGAAGATCGAATCAAAGATCTGTGAGGAAAAACGCTGTGTGATTCATTGTAAGATGTTGTCATGTTGTAATTCATGTTCCTTTAAATCTTGTCCGGATGTTCATTGCCTTCTGTTAGAGAACCAGAAGAAGATGGGGTCAACTGCTAGGATTCTTTCCTTGGGGTTTGCCATGAAAACTTGTACAGTGTTCGAATTTGGCATAAACATTGGCACCACCATCTTCATATTTGTATGATGTATCCCTTGCCTCGTGCGAGCTTCTGTAATCGTAGGTTACATAGCAAACCAATTATATATAATTTATTTGCCAACATATATATATATATATATATATATATATGTATACACGTTAAGATTATTGTAACGAACCAAATGACAATAGTCTAATGATCATAGATCGAATTCTTTAAGGCACGAGAATATTTACATAATATCTTCAAGATTCGAGACTAATACAAAATTTTGTTTTCCGATATTCTGCTGTGTAAAAAAAAGGCTAAATTCTCATATGCTGACACGAAAATGTATATACAAGAAAAATAAAAAAAAACTTATACGAACGTTGTTTTTTTTTTTTTTGGAAAATCATATAAATATATGAATTTATTAAAATGTTGTCGAAAAATATATAACTTTATAAAGCCGCGAAAAAATATGTCAATTTAAAAAATTCTCTCAGTTTCTACACTAATCATCAACCCGTTAGCAGTTTTAACAGTTTCCAAGTAAAGATACTAACATAATTCGTTAAAACCTATCAGTAACTAATGAATGTCATGCCATAACAAAATTGAATCATCAATAATAAAAAATAAAAAATAGAATATATATTTATATCTCAGTCTAGTTAAAAATTGGGAAAAACTCGTGAAAATTTCCAAACTTGTAATTCGATGAAAAACTAATTCCTAAACTTAAAAGGTGTTTCTATTTAATTCCGAATTTGAAAAATTAGACACGACAATACCATTAAACTAAATATGGAAAGAATCTGATATCTTGAGATAATTTTGATTTGGATTGCTCTCAATCAGATTCTAACGGATCTTTAATCTTCATTCTTGATTGGAATCTTGAATTATGGACTTTGATGATATTTGGCATGATTAACTTGGATAGAAATGAATGTCCAAGATATTTTATTCTTCAACATACATAGTGTAACATCCCTAAGTACATATAGCAGATTTCACGGTACCAGATAAAACCGAGAATTATACCAAAACAGTACATTTGAGAACCACAATCGAAACAATCAATCTAGACGTGTTTTTCTCTTGTATTGATGTATTAAAATGATATTTGAATTCATCTGCGCGTGCATGTATTGTTTCCACTTAATGCATATATATTACAAACTTTTTTTTTTATAACGAGGAGGTTAAAGGTTTTGGGGTTTCGGAGTGAGCCTTTGCAAAATCAACATGCATAATTATAAATCGATAGAAACGTATATGGCGTTCTGAAAACAATTTCGAAGGGGTTTTATTTTCTGCGTTAAATACAAAAGGTTATTTTTTTTTCTTTTCAACATTATTCGCTATCTTTGACCAAAAAAAAAAAACATTAGGCGCCAATTGGCAGTCAAATAAATTTTTGTATGAATAAGACATTCACTGCATTGTCTGATTAAACGATTTTTTTCTTTGTTCTCCACCTGGCCACAAAGACCAACTCAAACATCGTTATCCAAACTTTCTCATATCAACAATAAACTTGAATGCTGACGTAATCGAAAAATATTTCAATGTTACCCGGTAAAATTTGCATATCAACAATAAAAAAATAAAATAAAAAACAAAAACATACATAGTATATATATAAATATGTTATATGTATAAATATATCTCTATATATATATATGAATATCGTTTGAATTCATTATATTTTAAGATATGACATTGATTTTTTTTTTGGTTGGTTATTATCCATCACAATTCACAACATCCTTTCTTTTTATAGGGATTTGGGACCGATTAGACAAGATCAAATTTTCAAGGGAAAAATTCCTAAAATTTATCACACTTGCAATATATCCGGAAACTAATTCCTGAACTTACAAGTGTGTCTATTTATTCCCGAACTTAAAAAATTGAACACGTTAATTTCTAAACTTGTATAAGAGTGACATAATCGTCATTACCATAAATTTTATTGAAAAATAAAATACATAAATTAAATTAGGAAGAAAGAATAAAAGAGAAAAAAACGAAAACACTTTTATTCCTACATCTCTTATTTCTTGTTGCACTACAATGAAAATAATTCATACATTTATAGAAAAAGTTATTGAAAAAACAAGTATGTTTATTTCTTTCCGAACTTAAAAAATTGAACACGTTAATTTCTAAACTTGTATAAAAGTGATATAATCGTCATTACCATAAATTTTATTGAAAAATAAAATATAGAAATTAAATTAGAAAGAAAGAACAAAAGAGAAAAGAACGGAAACACTTTTATTCCTACATCTCTTATTTCTTGTTGCATTACAATTAAAATAATCCATATGAAAAAAACAAATAAGGGAAAATATAATTGACACGATATATATTTTATTTTTAATTGATATTATACCTTTAATTATTATCAATCATATTAAATCTTCTTTCTATTTTAACAGGTTTTTCTATTGTAAAAATATTTATATTTATAAGATTTACCCTTACAAAAAAAAACCTCATTAATTCATATATGCATGTATATGCACGTAGATACGCGCAAGGACGCCTATACATTCATCTGCAGTGGAAGACACAAACACACCAAGGCTTAATAATCACTGATACCAAAATGAGTTTGTTCACGACAGTCTCATTTTCGTTTGCGTAGTTTTTATGATCCTCCGGTTCCGCCGGAAAACCGGGTTCGGGCGACTTCCGCCGGGGCCAAAACCACTTCCGATCATCGGAAACCTCCATCTCCTCGGCGACAAGCCACACGTGTCAGTCGCAAAGCTATCGGAGAAGTACGGACCACTCATGACCCTACAACTCGGCCAAGTCACCACAGTCATTGTGTCTTCTTCGGACATGGCCAAAGAAATACTCCAAACGCATGACCGCGTTTTATACGGCCGCGCGATTCCAGACGCGATGACGGTTCATGACCACAGCAAGCACGGGATGACGTGGCTCGAGGTCTCCGACAAGTGGAGGAACTTGAGGAAGATTGGCAACAACTACATATTCGCCAACTTGAAGCTCGAGGCCCGACAAGACTTGCGTCGCAAGAAAGTCGATGAACTGCTCCAAGAAGTCGGGAACTGCTGTCGGGAGGGCAAGGCCGTGGACATAGCCCAAGCCTCGTTTCGGACAACACTTAATCTGTTGTCGAACACTTTTTTCTCCGTGGATTTGGCAGATACGTCTTCGGAGAACGCGAGAGAGTTCAAAGACGCCGTGAAGGGCATCATGGAAGTGATCGCGAAACCGAATCTATCTGATTATTTCCCGATCGTAAGGTTTCTCGACCCGCAAGGTATTAGGCGAGAAACTGGCGTTCTATGCCAGAAGTTTCTCGGTATTTTCGATCGGATTATCAATGAATGGCTGAGATCCAGCAACGAAAGTGATCGAAGGGAAAAAAACGGCGATGTTTTAGACACTCTTTTGGGCATTGCAGAAGACAAGAATATGGATCTTGACTTAGCCGAAATCCGACATCTTTTCTTGGTGAGTATTCTGCTTGCACGACGTGTCATTTCCCGTACGAATTTAAGCTTTTAAGTTCCCCTCAAGATTGATTTTGAAAGAATGCAAAAATCAATCTTGAAAAGATAATGCGATAAAAATCCATAGACATTTTCATTGTCTTTTGAAAAATCCATAAACACCAAATGACATAAATGTAACATCTTATTTAGTTTAGATTATATATACTATACAAATACTATAAAAGGAAATTGTTCATGGTATAAAACAAAACGAATTAAGTATTTTATTGATTTTGACCTACATGCTGTTTGTTTTCTTTTCTTGAGACAGGAAACACACACACACACATAAATATTCATAAATTACATTCTTTCTTTATTGTGTTTATCACGTATAACACATCTATCACACTAATGCTATAGAATATTAATCCATTTTTGTTGGAATATATAACAAATTGCAGGAGCTATTTACGGCGGGAAACGATACGACGTCGTCCACGTTGGAGTGGGCGATGACGGAATTGCTTCGGAATCCAAAGGCAATGTCAAGAGCTCGTGAAGAGCTGAGAGAGAACATCGGAGTGGGGAATACGGTGGAGGAATCTGATACTACGCGCCTACCCTATCTCCATGCCATCGTCAAAGAGACTTTCCGGTTACATCCTCCGGCTCCGTTTCTCATACCAAGAAAATCTGGTTCGGATGTCGAGATCAACGGGTTTGTCATCCCAAAGGGTGCAACGGTACGCAAACCGTTATCTGAAACCGGTTTGGTGGTTTTGGTTCATAAGGCTCGCGGTCTCAGAGCTTTACCGATCAAAAGAATCACCGTTTGAACGTTTGATCCAACAATTTGAATGTTTCCAAAGTCTCAAATTATACATATATAATATATATATATATGTATATGTATATGTACCCTATATATATGTTCTTATCTGCAGCTTGAATATCAGTCTAAGTTCCTTCGGTATTGATTAAGATATTACGTAGCCCACCTATTAATACATGTCTTCTACTTTGAAATGTATTCCAACCAAAAGCTAGTCATGTGTACAACATTTCTTCTTTCCTTTTTTTTTTCTTCATGATAACCCAACAATAATCGCAGAAATTGTCAAAACAGCTTTCGGTTTAACTTTATATATGTTTACATATACGCATGTGAATGGTTCTTTTTTTTTTTTTTTTTTTTTTTTTTATTTTTTTTTTTTTTGTGTTTTTTTTTTTTTTTTTTTTTTTTTTTTTTTTTGTTAACGGTAAACTTTATAAACCTTTTCAAAAAATTACAAGAGTTCTTCTGCAGATTTTGACAGAAGTAGAGAGAACATAACTTAATAGAAAAATAGCATCGTGACAGTAGAACATAGCGCATCAAATAGGTAGAACCACTAAGACATTATGGAGGGTCCATAAGAAGACCACGAGCAGTTAGCGGAGGGTCTGATTGCAGAGAGTTTAAGCCTAGGGCGACTGAGTAACTTCCTTAAAATTCGTCTACGCATCCTCCCTCAGTTACATTCGGTGAGCTCAACGAACCCTTCCCCTCCGACCTCTTGTAACCACTGAGAAGTCAGAAGGAATTTTGGGATTGTTGGCCGCCCGAAGTCGGAGTAGTCTTTGTGCTTCCTCTACCATTTCATCCTCGGAATCAAATACATATGAGGCTAGTGCTCCTCGGATGTGCTTCCCATTTTCTTGGGGCCTTTGGAGTGGGTGGCTAGGTGTGGGGACCTTGGCTTCAGATGTTTGAGGAGGGGGTTGAGGTGGGTCAGTTTGTGTGGGTTCATTGGAGGTTGGTGGAGAATGAGCTTGGTCAGCTAATGAGAGTGATGGAGAAGCTAGGGCCTTTGTCAGGACAGGGGAAGCCTGTACTACAGGGGGCAAAGGAGAGCGAGCCAGATCAACATCAACTGCAGAGAGGGGAGTAGGCAAACCTAACTTAGCATGGGTCGTAGTTGTGGCCACGGTCAGCTGCGACGACGGGATCGAATTAGTGGGAATTGGATCCTGAGTTGGTAACGGGATCGAATTAGGCAAACCTAACTTAGCATTGGTCCGCTACCAACGCTGTCTTTTTCTTTAATTATTAAAATACAAAACTGCCCTTATAGTAAACCCTAACTTTAAAACCAGGTCTTTTTCGGCCCGAGATTCGTGGTGGGGAGAGCTTGTTGTTCTTCCGCCGTTCGATACATTCGTTCGGCAGATCGTATGACAATCCAAGAGCATACAATACGGGCTTGGTTTAGAACCCTCCAGTCTCCAGATGTTATCCATTGATACGATCCCTCTGGTTCAGCTAGAGGGTTCCGATATGGTTCTCTTGGATCGCAGGACTTCTACTATGCGGTCCCTATTCTTTGCTTTTGGTGACGCGTGAACGAAAATTATAAAGTTTTCAATTATTTTCTACTTTTATATTTATGTATTTTAACAGAGGATTCCTAATTGGAAGTTGGATTCCATTAGGGTTTTGGATATTCTCTTTATAAATTTAGTTTGTGTTTCAAATAATATTTGTTTAGAAAGATTTCTCCGCTTTTCTCTTATTTTTCGGTGTTCTTTTTCAATAGTCATTAAATAAATAAAAAAAATCCTAGACATTCGACATTCTTACAAACAATATTTAAGTATCTAGATATACCCGTTGTGTTGTGGCCTGCATATCTAAGTTTTATAAAATTGTGGCATCTAATTAAAATAATATTGCAAAAGGGTTTAACATTTTTTTTTTAAAAACATATGTTATTTCATTATAGTTTTTAATCATTCTTTGTGCTATCTTAAAAACAATTTTTTTAAGGTTTAACAAAAAGGAGCTTCTCCCGGACCACAATCTTAAATTTAGGCTTTTCATGGGCCTTTTTATGAGAAGTATTTAGAAAAAATACCATGGTCATGAATAAATGGAAAAATGACATTAAATGGGACGAAAATAACTTATACAAACATAATTTTCGGGCCTTTTTATAGATATTTGGAGGGGTCACATCTGCCATCAGTTTGTCCTTGGGAGTAGGGGAGCGCATGGAAAGAATAATCAATCAAACAAAAAATCTAGTAATTAAAGATCATTCATGCACAAATTTTATTTGACCGCAAATGGGGTGAGAATACTTTTCATGGCGTATAATATTGAAAAGTAAATTTTTTCCCTTGGAGTATAACGTTGAACATGAAGGCCCTTCGACAGTTGATGTGTGATTCTTGTAACGCCTTACGTTTCTATCATTTGATGATATTTTCGTATATCTCGGCCGATCGAGAATCGTTTATGATTAATTAACCTAAAGTCAAACTACCCCCATGCATGATTCAAATGCATTACATAATTCAGTTTTTTTTTCCTTATCCTATAGTCTTAGCAAGGGTAAGATGATACAACAATACGTCCATCCATATTAAAAGCGGGAGAGAAAATTATGAATATAAACTAGTCAATATATAGTCATTAATTCATATATGTATGTATATATATTTGCACGTAGATACACGCAAGGAGTCTATATATATATATATATATATATATATTCACCTCTGCAATGAAAGACACAAACACACCAAGTCTTAATAATCACTGATACCAAAATGAGTTTTTTAATCGACAGTCTCATTTTCGTTTGCGTAGTTTTTATGATCCTCCGGTTCCGCCGGAAAACCAGTTTCCGGCGACTTCCGCCGGGACCAAAACCACTTCCGGTCATTGGAAACCTCCACCTCCTCGGCGACAAGCCACACGTGTCAACCGCAAAGCTATCGGAGAAGTACGGACCACTCATGACCCTACAACTCGGCCAGGTCACCACAGTCATCGTCTCTTCTTCGGACATGGCCAAAGAAATACTCCAAACGCACGACCGCGTCTGCTCCGGCCGATCGATTCCAGACGCGATGACGGTTCATGACCACAGCAAACACGGCATGACGTGGCACGATGTCTCCAACAAGTGGAGGAACTTGAGGAAAATTGGCAACAACTACATATTCACCACCGTGAAGCTTGAGGCCCGACAAGATTTGCGCCGCAAGAAAGTCGATGAACTGCTCCAAGAAGTCGGGAACTGCTGTCGGGAGGGAAAGTCCGTGGACATAGCCCAAGCCGCGTTTAGGACAACACTTAACCTGTTGTCGAACACTTTTTTCTCCGTGGATTTGGCAGATACGTCTTCGGAAAACGCGAGAGAGTTCAAAGACGCCGTGAAGAGCATCATGGAAGTGGTCGCGAAACCGAATCTGTCTGATCATTTCCCGATCTTGAGGTTTCTTGATCCGCAAGGTATTAGGCGAGAAACGGGTGTCCTTTGCCAGAAGTTGCTAGATATTTTCGATGGGATCCTCGATGAACGGCTGAGATCGAGGAAAGAGAGTGATCGAAGGGACAAAAACAGTGATGTTTTGGACACGCTTTTGGACATTGCAGAAGACAAGAACATGGACCTTGACTTAGCCGGAATCCGACATCTTTTCTTGGTGAGTCTTCTGCTTGCACGACATGTCCTTTCCCGTACGAATTTCAACTTTAATTTAAGACGAAAATGTACTATAAAGGAAGTGTTTATGGTACAAAATAACTGAATATTTTATGAATACATAAATTACGTAAAAAATATTTTGTGTTTATTAAAAATGAAAGGAGCTATTTACGGCGGGAAACGATACGACGTCGTCGACGTTGGAGTGGGCGATGACGGAGTTGCTACGCAATCCAAAGGCGATGTCAAGAGCTCGCGACGAGCTGAGAGAGAACATCGGAGTGGGGAATACGGTGGAGGAATCTGATACTTCGCGCCTACCCTATCTCCAAGCCATCATCAAAGAGACCTTCCGGTTACACCCTCCACCTTTTCTGATTCCAAGAAAATCCGGTTCAGATGTTGAGATCAACGGGTTTGTCATCCCAAAGGATTCAAAGGTAATTAACCGATCTCGAACTCCGTTAGTTGATTTTTTGTTTAATTGTTGAATACCGGATTTACTACGAGAGAGAACCGGTTTTTGGTAGACCAATTTTGTTGGCTAGCCACCCGAGGTTTTACGGTCGCATAAATCATTATATATCTATCTAAGATTCATTTTACATCATGTTCTTAACCACTTACCACAGTTGATTAAATATGCAAAAGAAATATTTTTTTTTTACCGATTTCTACACTTCAGTTATATTAATTTGATGTTCTTTAAATAAATAAAAAAAATCAATGGTTTATTTTTTAAAATTAAATTATTTTAGAAAAATCTGTGTCGGCGTACCAGTAGTATTGGTTACGTATCTAATCCGTATATAGACTTTTATTTGAATTTGACAACTAAAACACACTTACATACATACATACATACATACAAATTCAACAAATTTTAATGATGGATTAGATATGAAAATAGATTAGTCAGTCTTTTCAAACATGCATGATCACGTCGGAATTAGACTATTTCTTTTGGATGACCCTATCACGTAAAACCACAAAGTTTTCATTACAATGCAACTCATGATCACGATATTGTATATTTGGGCAAATATAGATTCTGATAAACGCGTGGGCCA